TGGGCAGCTCCAGCCACCGGGGCCAGCCCTTGCTGCCACTGCTGCAGCTTCAGTGCTCGCTGGGCCTGCACTGCCACAGCTGCTGGGGACACACCGGGACAATTCCACTCTGGCTCTCACTCACCCTGCACTGGCTGGGATTAGAGTCCACTATGTTTTTTCTTAATAATCCTACATTTATATTGTCAATAAGAATTGGGCCAGGGGTGTGAGAATCAATTTTTATTATTAGCTGAAGAAATAAAAAAATTTTTATTGCTTTGGATTCTTTTTTGTGCATGTGTTTGTGTGGATGTTGGAGATTGCAAAATTATGGTATGGGTTTTTTGGTGTTTGCCTTTAGGTTGCATTTTTCCAAAACTAGAAGAGCTATGACGGTGACCTTTTAACTCATAAACAGTTAATAGAATACTGTTCAAAAGAATCTCAAAAATTAAAAAAACAAAACAAACCCTGGATTTTGAGTGGTAGCCCACATGTTAGTGACCTGATGGCTGCTCTGGAAGAGAAGCTTCATTCCAGGCAGCCTGGATAAGAGCTTTCAAAATGTAAACAAGCACTGCTCGGGCAAAGTGTGGACAATGTATCTGGGTCTCTTGCCTGGGGCTGGAATTGGGCTGCTTCCCTCTGCCCCTCACCCCAAGCTCTGCCTGCTCCACAGATGGAATTTGCACAGCTAAAGGCAGAGCCTGTGGTGAGGATCTCTGACTCTGCAACAGAAATGGCTGAAGCTGCAAAGGGAAACAGCAAATGGAGAATGTTGTGAAAACTTCACTAAAATAAGGGGAGGGAAAAATCATCCCTCACCCACTCCAACATGTGTTGTCACTGTCTATGTTATACCAAGATGTTCTTACCACAAATTGCGAGAAATCAGTTGGGAATCCAAGTATGTGGTGATTTAATTAGAGAAAAGTCGTCAACTGATGCAGCATAGGCTCCTGAGGGAGCACCCCAAAAACAGGGAAAAGCTGAAGGGCCTCCAGAACAAATCCTACAACAACATGGACCAGCCCCTGCGAACCCGAACGAATTCATTTCAGGAGACAGAGAACCCATTCATCATTTCAATGGCATCATTAGATTACAAGTTGTCCTTGAAATAAGAACCACCTAGACAAATCCTTCTGACCTTCCTGCCGACGAAGCTACACAAATGAGAAACACAACATTTCACCAGGGGATGGGATCAAATTATATGTTAGCAGAAAAAGGAGGAGTTTATGAAAAATTAAATTATTCAAACTGCTGTTGGCAAAGAGATGATAAAGGAAAAGGGTTGAAACAGATCACAAAAGAAACAAGAAAGCAGCTCTTGTTCTGGCCCAAATGTGGAAAGGATGGGAATGGGACACG